AGGGAAATACTGTGGTTAAAAAAAAAAAAAAAAAAAAAAAATCAAGATATAAACAAAAGGAAAGGCTTTCTAAAAAATATTCCAGTAGCAAAAGACATAATTTTAAGAATTGACAAGTGGAACTACTTGCAAATTAAAGGCTCAGCAAATAAAGCAATCACCAGAGAAGATACCCCCGAGAATTGGGAAAAGCCTTTGTCAAGTATAAACAGTGAGTTAATATCTAGAATATATAAGAACTGTAGAACTAAGCACCAAAAAATATCATCAATAAATGCATTGATGATCTGAATAGAAAGTTCTCAAAAACAGAAATATGAATGGCCAATAAGTACTAGAAAATTTATTCCCTGTCTTTAGCCATCAGAAATGTAAATTAAAGTCAATTTGAGGTTCCATCTCGCCCAGGGCACAATGAAGATCTTTAAGAAAGCAGATGACAACAAATCCGGCAGAGGACATGGGAAAAGAGGAGACCTTACATATTGCTAGGAATATAAACTGATTTCAATCACAATGGAATTCAGTGTGGAGGTTCTCAAACCTGAAAATGGAACTACAGAGTAATACAGCTACACCATAGAGATACTTACATTATGTTATTGCTGCAGTGTTTGGGATAGATAAGAAATTAAACAAGCTTAGATACCTATCAACAGATGAATAGAAAAAGAATATATGGAACATACACAAAATGGAATTATTTTTAACTCCAAAGAAAAACTGAATCATAAAATTTGCAGGAAGTAGATAAACAACTACTATGGGTTTTTTACAAGGAGGGGAACCAGCAAAAAAAGAGTACAGGAATGATTACGAAAGATAGTGAGAGAGGGGAATAGTAACAAAGCATAATTACATATACTCATGAAATTACCATAATAAAACCCATTGAATTATTTTTAAAAATTAATTGTAAAATAATATGGATAGCACATGTATTTATTACACTAAATTATGTTCTCTCAAAAACCTACATTTTTGCTTTTAACCTATAAAACCAAAAGCCTTAATTTAATTTTGTCTGACATAGCCTGAAGGAATATTACTTTATATTTATCTAAAATTATATGTAATATATATATATATACATGTATGAATTTATTATATCTTAATTTATTTTTTAAATCATTAAAAATTTCATCTTATTTATACTTCAGATCCAGCATGCTAATGTTCTGCTAATGCATTAAGTATGCTCACAGCTTGCCAACAGCAACAGCAACACCTGAGAATCATAAGCTTCCTAATACAGGAGCATAGGTTCAGATACCTGGAATTTTAATGAAATGATTCTCATTTACATTGACCTAACTTTATATTTTAAATTATATCTCACATTATCATTTCCTAGGTGCTTCTTCACTGAGCAGGAAGGTCTTAGGGTTACAACAACTTTACTGCTAATGCATCATAATGACTATGTCTACTGTGCAGCTCACCAAGAGTGTCTCAACACTCATCCCAACTTAGGCAAACCTGCTATCATTACACCTTTTTTTTTCATTATACCTTTCTAACACACACACATATACACAACCTGAGTCAGGGAAAACAAACAAATTTTAGACCTTGGCAAGTCAGTGCTTATAGGAAATTTTATACATGGGAGAAAGGGATAGACTATTCAGGTTAACTCTGAATAGTTAACAAGAAAAAAAAAATTTAAATGCATATATCACCAAATTAGACATGGTGTTTTCCATTGAATCAGCCATTATTCCTCAAGCTTCTGAAACTCATGGCCAGGGGGGGAAAAGTATCAGTGTCTCCATTACTTTAAAAAGAGGAGACTTTGGGCTGGTGTGATGGCTCAGGGGTTAAAAGTACCGGCTGCTCTTTCTGAGGACCCTGGATCAATTCCCACCATTCACATGGTGGCTCGTAGCAGTCTGTAACTCCAGTTCCAGTGGACCCAATACCCTGTCCTGACCCCTGCTGGAATACACGTGGTGGATAGGTAAACACACAGAGGGAAAACAGCCACTCACATTTAAAGAGTTACAATTTAAAAAAAAAAAAATAAGAGGGAACTAATGGTATGATTTTCATAAGAAAAAACAAATTACAAAGGGAGAAGAATGGGGTAGATACATTTGCCAAAAAAATTCATTTAATTTCCTTTATAAATAAAGACAAAGTTGACGTTCATTTACTGTATAATTAAATGCAGATTTAACAATCTCTCTGTAGCTAAATAAAAAGCAGATGTATCTTCCTCCATAGTTTATTAGATGTTGTACCATAAAAAATTTCTGGGCATTTGTTTTTAAGCATATGTTGCAAAGCCATAAAAAGTGACCATACCTGTTTTACTAATGACTTCTTGCAGCTCAGTCATAGAACTGACAATCGCAGCAAGAAGGTCGGAACTGGTAAACCAAGTAAGTGCTTGTACGCAGCGTAACTGCTCCCTTTGATGTTCTGTGGAAACATAAGGATCCATTATGAAATGCTACAAGTTATTAAAATTCACACTTAGGTTTCAGAGTAGTGTTCAGTAAAGTCGGACTTTGTATGCCTCATGTTCCCTAGTACAGAAAATCTAGTTATATGTGACTGACCTAGCATTGAATAACAAACATCAAAAAAGACAAACATTTCCTTTAGTTTGGGTTTTATTACAATTGCCTGATATTTACCAGTTGCATCATTTGAGGGTATAGTGGCAGAGCACTTGCTTGGTGTGAGTTTAGCCTTAGGGCTAATCCTCAGGCATGAATTTTAAAAAGTTAACAACTAAATCTGTTTTCTCAAATATAGTAAAACATTCCAAAAAAATGTCAGCTGGAAATTTATATTTCCATCATTCTTAAGCAATTCTTCAAGATATTCTTAACTCTCATCATTTATTCTGATTTTATATTGAAAGAACAGATAATTTATTCTGACAATTTTTAAGAGTCTGTTTAGGACTGTCAAAACTGAAAAACAGATATATAAACTCTCCATTATACTGTTAAAAAAAGATGATTCAAATGCAGTAATGCTAGACAATACTGAAATTATACATATTTGTTTCTTAATATCAATTTATAAAAAATAAAGGCTACTTTGTATAAAATAAACACATATCCGAAGATTTACTGGACTATGTTACATGATTTAAGATATTACATAAGTCTCTGAAGGTTCTATATAATAGCCAACCAAACACACTCTGTATTTCACTTACACATAACTTAGAATTTTAAAAGCACAAATTATCTTACTTGGAAATTTGTGCTTGTCTTTGGGCTCTCCTGTACACACTAGCATGCCTATGCCTTCTTTACAACTTTCCATCCAGGTAAAAAGAGTGGCACAGGATTGACCCAAAATCTTGAGTCTATTTGCGGCCAAAATTGCAATTGCACCTTTCCGGAATACACGGATCAGTCCTTTGAATGTTTTTTTCTTCGCTTTGGCTTCTTCTTGTTTCTTTTCATCTACTGCTGACAATGCCTGGGCTAGAGTCCTAATTTCCAGTTTGAACAGTTCCAAGCTGTTGACTTGCTCCTGGAGAAAGTCTCTCTGTGTGGATAAGGCACATGACCTGCTATAGAGGGGATACAGTGCACCAGCCATCAGCGCGCATGCCGCCAGCAAGCATGTCTGTTCCCGCTGAGTCTTGGACAATGTGCTTTTGAAATGTGAATTCTCAAGAACCAGTTGTTCATGTGAGCTCTCAATACGGTTCAATTTTTCCATGTTTTTTTCTGCAATTTCTTGAAATGTCTATAAAAGAAGTCAAAGAATATATATGATCAGGAAACAAAGAAACATTTTACTACTTTTTGTTAATACAAAGAAATAAATGTTTGCTGAAACGACTGGTTCCCTTCAAAAGATTTGTGTTATAAAACACCCAAATGGGCAACCATGGGCCTAGCAGCATAAATTCGAATGTGTACACTGACTTTGAAAATCTCTTACACAGCAGCATTAAATAAACTATAACACATAAACTTAAGAGTGTGAATTTCCTGTGTATTTGCATATAAATACACATATGTAGAAAGGAAAATTCCAGGGCTGGAGAGATGGTTAAGAAAACTGGCTGCTCTTCCAGAGAAGCTGGGATCAATTCCCAGCACCCACATGGCAGTTCACAACCATCTGTAACTCCAGGACCTGACAGCCTCACACATGCAGGCAAAATACCAATGCTCAGAAAATAAAGATAAAGAAATTTAAAAAGAAAGGGAAATAAGGTTTCTAATTTCTCCTTTCCACTCCTCAGTAACTATTGTTTCCCCTTAAATAGAAACTACACTGAGAACTGGGGCTTTTTATAGTACAAGATGTTAACCATTGCCAAAATAAGCAGAGTTAGTGATGGGGGAAACAGCAGTAGATCAGCATCTGCCGTTTGTACCTAGAAGAACCTGGAGCAGAGCATAATCTTGTTTCAGAGCAGCACACAGCAGCTCCAGAGCAGTAGGAAAGGACAGTGGTGCACTGGGCCTTTGTGGCTCTCTAATCCTTTTTCCGTCATTAACATTCTGAGAATTGGAATTTTAACTTAAAATCGAAAACAACTATTACCTGGAAGAATCACATTTTCCGAACTAGAAATAAACTGGCTATCTATGAGCTCTTACATACAATCATTATGGATGTAGAGAAGAAATATTTTAAACCAGCATATTCCACTTTACTATTCATTTATCATTCAATAAATATTAGGCATTACTCACTAAGCTATGAAAACAGATGTCAATCATTATTATGGTAAAATGCTACAGTAGATATATGCCAAGTTGTGAGAGCACCAAAGGGCACTTGACAAAATGATGTTGACAAGCTTTGGAAAGATATGACAATTAAAGGAGAAAGGGGAGTAAGATAGGCAAGAAAAAAATTTAAACCTATACCATTAACAAGGAGGGTAGGTAATAGCAACCCTTTAATAATTTAATCTAACCTTGCAAACAACCATGATTTAACAGCTGCTGTTAGATTTTTAGTTTCAAAGTGAGCCATTGTGACACAGCCACGAACCTCTTTGTCTTGAAAGCAAACTAAGGCTGTTTAATTCTAGTATGATAGTCATTTAAAAACAGAAAAATTATCCTCAGTATCAGCGTGGCAAAGTCAAGTTCTGTCTTCATAATGAGAATCCTTCAGGGACATTAAAGGAACTATTTCTCTTTGTACTAGTGGTTTAAACTGTACTATGTGAAAAATTTAAAGTTGATCTTTGGGAGAGGTATATGATGTCTTATTCAAGAGTTACCCAGTTGAACACCCAGACGAACAAAAGGAACTTCTAAAATTCACGTTGGCAGGAGCACCTCAAAAGACATCAACATCTAAGGCAAGCCATACAAATGCTGGGCCACAGTACAAGATGTGGTGTCAAAGGCTATCATGGGCAGTGCTGATGGGCAACAGCAAAATAATTTCAAGCTAGCAGACATGACAACTGAGGAAAATAAATCCTAGGAGATAGTTTTCCAAAGACAGAGAGCAGAAGGAGACACTCAGTGGCACAGAGAAGCAGATAAAGAAAAAAAAGTATAAAAAGGGTCACTGTTTAAAGAATTTAATTTATTGTATGATTTCCTTTCAGTAAAAGAAAAATTGAATTTTTGAAATGGATTTTCTAATGCATGAAACTGGAAATAGTATATCAAATGAGGTAACCCAAGCCCAGGAAGACCAATACTACATTAACCTTTCTCACAGGCAGATCCTAATTTAGGATTTTTAGATTTGAGGGTTTCAGTTGCTAGTGAATGTAGAGGCCAGGGAGCTAGGAGCAGGGCTAGCAAAGGGGAAAACATAATATAAGGCATATGATATGGGAAGTAGAGGTGGCTGATATTGGAGGCAGAATGATTTAAGCAGGGATAGGGGTTAAGGGACAGGAGAGCAGAGTAGATAGAGGGATGGTTAGCAAAAACTAAGGATACATGAAAAGGCCATGTGAAAACCGTCTATCTTATAAGCTAACTTTTAAAGAGTTTAAAAAGAAGAACCCTACATAGATAGACAATGCTGCTTCCAGAAGCAACGGGGCCAGATATGACCTATCTCCTGACGGAGACCCCAAAGATCTCTAAAAGAATACAAGCTACTACTCTTCTTCTTTCTTGCCTACCACAACTAGCAACCCTATTACTGAAGATGCCACACACTTTGGTTGCAGGACATCAAAAAAATCATACTAGAACTGAAATGGAAGTTTCCTCCCTACTGGATAGCTTTCCTAGTGCCAGAAGGTGCTATGTGGGCCGCTAGGAAAGAAAAGTTAATAGTCTTATGCAGCTGTGAACCCTACAAGCTGTACTATTCAACTGCTTGACTAAGACACAGCTATATGTACACTGTTACATGACTGTTGTGGGGGTAAGCAACTGCCTTCTGCTTAGATTTAAGGCCCCAGTCCCCTGAAGGGAATCCATGCCCCGTACTGCAAATCTAATCAAAAGCCCATGACTGGGAGGTCATAGGCCATGGGCAGGGGTCTGGGGAGGCTGAGGGGGTACCAGCTACTACCATTTTGCTAAATGGACATGGTGTCTAACTGCCTTCCAAATATTTGTGTTTATTCCCATAGATTAGTGCTGCTCTTATTCTTAGTTAAGGAATATTCTGTTTGCTGTGGACAACAGTCAATACAGAAACTCATAACTGGGAACTGGAGAGATGGCTCAGAGGTTAAGAGCACTGGCTGCTCTTCCAGAGGTCATGAGTTCAATTCCCAGCAACCACATGGTGGCTCACAACCATCTATAATGAGATTTGGTGTACAGGTGTACATGCTGACAGAACACTGTATACATAATAAATCTTTAAAAAAGTTTAAAAAAAAGAAACTCATAACTGATGAAAATGTTGACAAAAATGGAGCGTTGAGTGTTCATCCCTAAACAAGGCATGTGTATCAGCCCCTCCAAAGCTCAAGGAATAGCACAGAAAAAGGAAGTAGGAAAATGGAAGAGTGAAAAGTCACAGAATGCTATGAAACACTATCCTCGACACAGCATGGTTATCATGCTCATGGGCTCACAGTAACTGTCATCACCAGCAAAAGAGCTGCACAAGGTCAAATTTTCATCATGAACAGGGGAGTGGTTCAGGAGGTCCCACCTCTACCTGAGAAACTACTGGCAGTTAATAGTTGCTGGTAGAAGAAAAGCTTTTTTTTTTTAAGTATTATAACTCCTGGTGAGTTGTTCCAGTAAATAACCTTCTCACTGATGCTCTACAAGCAACCTCAATTTAAACTTGTAAAGTCACAAGAAAGAAAAAAAAAAATAGAGAGAAAGAAGAAAGTTAAGGAAGGAAGGAGGGAGCATTTTAACAAGGGAGAGAGGGAAATGAAATAGGACACTAGGGAGAAAAAAAATGACCAGGCATGTTATAAAAATGTATGAAATTGTCAATGAATAAAATAATAAACATTAAAAGAATACTAACAGTAGAAGGGAGGAAAGAAATCATTTCCTTCCTGTAGCACATTTCAATTGTTTTTATTTGCTCCAGATCTTCCTTTTCTAAGGCCTGGTCCAGTCACACCTATGGTAGAAATGGTAAGAAATGAAGAAATGAAGAAATAAACATATTGTGTCTTGCCTGTACGGTGTAACTGAACTATGTCTCAGCACTCCACACGAATACTACTAGCAAAGTAAACAGTGCCCCGGGAGGAAAGGCTGCCTAAAACACACGAGAACATCTGAGCAGCAATGCCTACAGGGGCTGCTTCCGTGTCTTCACCCTCACAGGAGAGGCAATCTCTAAGAAAAGAAGAGTGACACACACTCAGGGTAGAGCCGCCCCTCCCCCATCCGCTGATAGGGGAGGTCCTCTTCCTCTTCCATCTGACCCTAGCCTATCCGGTCTCATCTGCATTGTCTTCCTCTGTGGCCTGGTAAGGCTGCTCCCCCTGCAGGGAGAGGTGATCAAAGAGCAGGCCAATCAGTTCATGTCAGATAGTCCCTGTTCCCATTACTAGGGCACCCACTTGGACACTGAGCTACCAGGGGCTACATCTGAGCAGGGGTTCTAGGTTATCTCCATGAATGGTCCTTGGTTGGAGTATCAGTCTCAGAAAAGACCACTGTGCCCAGACTTTTTGGTTCTGTTGCCAGATGTCCCTCAACGGAAGAAATTGTAGTACATTTACACAATGGAATACTACTCAGCAATTAAAAACAAGGAAATCATGAAATCTGCAGGCAAATAGTGGGAACTAGAAAAGATCATCCTGAGTGAGGTATCCTAGAAGCAGAAAGACACACATGGCATATCCTCACTTATAAGTCGATACTAGACCTATAAGGTGGGATAAACATACTAAAATCTGTACACCTAAAGAAGCTAAGCAAGGAGGAGGACCCTGGGTAAGATGTTCAATCTTCATTCAGAAAGGCAAACAGGATAGACATCAGAAGAGGGAGAAAACAGGGAACAGGACAGGAGCCTACCACAGAGGGCCTCTGAAAGACACTACCCAGCAGGGTATCAAAGCAGATGCTGAGACTCATAGCCAAACTTTGGGCAGAGAGCAGGGAATCTTATGAAAGAAGAGAAAGATAGAAAGACCTGGAGGGGACAGGAGCTCCACAAGGAGAGCAACAGAACTAATTCTAGACTCTTAGCAAAGTCAGGCCCACCTGCTCATGGAGAAGCAGAAGGGAATGAAACTGTGGAGGTGTGTGGGGATACATGAGGCTGCCCAGTAACCGCCACACGAGGAGAAACAAAGTAGGTTTTTAATGTGGCTC